CAAGATCGCCCAGGACATCCGCTACCTCGGCAGCGGGCCCCGTGTGCGGCCTCGGCGAGCTCAACCTGCCCGAGAACGAGCCCGGCAGCAGCATCATGCCCGGCAAGGTCAACCCCACCCAGTGCGAGGCCCTCACCATGGTCTGCGCCCAGGTCATGGGCAACCACGTCGCCACCACCATTGGCGGCATGAACGGCCAGTTCGAGCTCAACGTCTACAAGCCCCTCGTCATCCGCAACCTGCTGCACAGCGTCCGCATCCTCAGCGACGGCATGCGCTCGTTTGAGAAGAACCTCGTCGTCGGCCTCGCCGCCAACGAGCAGAAGATTGCCAGCATCATGCAGGAGTCGTATGTTCCCGTCCCTTTCATCGCTTGTGGTTCCAGACATCAGCTAACCCGTACACAGCCTCATGCTCGTCACCTGCCTGAACCCCAAGATCGGATACGACATGGCCAGCAAGGTCGCCAAGAACGCCCACAAGAAGGGCCTCACCCTCAAGGAGAGCGCCATGGAGCTCAACGCCCTGACCGAGGAGGAGTTTGACACGCTGGTGAAGCCCGAGCTCATGGTCGGCCCCGCCGAGTACAAACCGTGAGAGAGAGAGAGAGAGAGAGAGAGAGAGAGAGAGAGAGAGAGCAAAAAAATAGAGGAGTGAACAGGAGAGGCCCGAGTGTATGAGAAATAGACGGAATTGTTGAAGATGGGAAAAGGGGGGGGGAACGGCATCACATGTACACCATCCTAAAAGCATCATGCCATGCGTCACGTAGCCAGCGGGGTCTTTGCATGCTTACTTTGCTGTGAATTGCCGAATCCCTTGAGCAGGCTTACACATATCTTTGCATCTTGCCTCCTGTGATGTGAAGTGTCATGGGTTCATTCATCCGTAATCAATATGCAATTCGAGTTTCGAGATGGTTTGACAAATGCACTATTGATTCCATGGTAACTGCGTGCTACTCAAAATAGAGTGGAAGTTCCGGTATGCATCGTGAGATCTCGGCCAATTTTGGGGGCAAGGATATCCCATAGTACTTCAAGTTAGGGAGCTTGAAGTCCCGGCTTCCAGTTTCAGTTTTGATCTTCTTCCATTGTCAGAAGATAGTAGAATCTTCTTCTATTGTTAGAAGATAGTAGAATCTTCTTCTATTGTTAGAAGATAGTAGAATCTTCTTCTATTGTTAGAAGATAGTAGAATCTTCTTCTATTGTTAGAAGATAGTAGAATCTTCTTCTATTGTTAGAAGATAGTAGAATCTTCTTCTATTGTTAGAAGATAGTAGAATCTTCTTCCATCGTTAGAAGATAGTAGAGAACGACCAGAAGCGGAAGGTCAAGCATTTACTAGCAAGCTAGCTGAAGGCTCTTCCTTGCATCAAGGAGGACGAAGGATGCACACAAATTTCAGGGTCAGTGCAAACAGCCAACAGCTGAGGACCCCGTGTCCCACACTATCATGACGATAGAACAGCGTGTACAGATCAAGACGACACCCGAGCAAGGCGTCAATAGCGTCGGGCATGCCAAGTCGAGTCCTCAGAGCCCATCCCCCACAGCCCTATTACCACTTGTCGTAGCGACGCGCCGCCGTGACCACGTGCTCACCCATGTCCAGTCTCTCGAAGAAACCCATTCGTGCTAGCCACACGGGGAAAGATGCTATCCACACGGAGAAGAGAGCAGGCATCGGCTGGGAACACCTAATCAGGACCTTGCGGGACCCCACGATACCATGCCCCCCCAGCAGGGAATGGCCCAGAGCCAGTGATACTAGGTAGCTGAAAGAGGCCACAGCATGGCTCGTCCATCGGGTCTCAGATCTCAATGATCTAGAAGCCAGCCGCATGCGAGCAGATTCCCATGCCTGACGTAGGTGCCGCTCGTTGACCACCTCCTCCTAAGCGTGGGCGTTCGAAGGGCTTGTCACGCACCGAGTTCCATGGCCTCAACACCACCACAGCCACCCCCCCCCCCCCCAGCCCACGTCTCCAGCGGCATGGCGCAACAAGGCACACACGAAACGCCAGCCGTGCCGACTTTTGCTCCCATCGGACACCTTGAACCGTTGCCTGCAGCACCGAGTCCCCAATCCAATAGCGCCAACGCCTTGCACAGCGTACTCCAGGGGTCCTTCTTCAAACGTCTTGGCGGGGGCCGCTAACACCCCCACGTGCTCCAGCGGCTGGCCCACGACCCCCGACGACATGGATCGCGGAAGTGCATCCGCCCCCCTTTCCACGTGAGGGCGAGAGGTCGTGCTGGACAGCAACGCCATCTTCAAACCCCCAATCCTGTGTCCAGGGCGTCGCGCTCCTCCAATTGTGTCGACGCAGGCTGGAAGGGGGAGGGGAGGGAAGGGGCGTGACGCGATGGGCAGGCTGGAACAAAATGTGGTGCTGCCCCGCGGCGATCCCCCCCTCGCTCCAAGAGCTTGGGACGTCCCACCACCACCGGGCCCTTGAACCGGCGCGGGACTCAGTCAAAGCCAGGCATTTCTTTTGGTTTCCTTTACGTCCAGGAGCTCTCCTCAGTCGATCTTTCTGCAAAGCTATAGCAACAAGAGCTGCTTAGATCGACAACGCGCGCGCACGAACCCCCTCGAGGCCAGTCGATGACACAGGTTCCGAGCCCTCGTGACCAAGGCCAGACGCGGAAATGGCTGTCGACGTGGAAGAGCTGATCATCACTCCCTTCAAAGAGGTGGTCGAACGAGGCCAAGATGCCGTGACCAACGCGCAGGCCGCCGAAGAGGACGACCCCGAGATGGGGACCCAGATGGCGCGCGCCGCCCAAGCCCTCGTCAAGGAAGGGGACCGCGCCTTGAAGAGGCTGCAGCCGATCTGGGACGCCCACGTTGACAAATTCGGTGACGCATTCAAGGACGCCATTCGTGACAGTGGTGAGTCTTGCTTCCAGTTTCTGAACCGTCGAGATGCCCGCAAGAAGCTGACCGCGCGCAAAAGATGAAATCGCAGAGAAGCGGCGCGTCCTGGAGGACCTGCTGTATGACTTTGAGGACTACATCGAGCTCGATTCGTTCGATCTCGACAAGTTTGTCGAGCTGCAGGCGGCTACGAAATCTTTCGCGCTGGATGCCTTGAACATCGTCAAACGCTTAAAAGTCGAAGCGCCAGTACCAACCCCTCCAACACCGAAGTCACCAGTCCACACATTTCCGCCCCTGCCGCCCCTGCCGCCCTCAAGATCAGGCACCCGGGCGAGTTCGCGGCCCACAACTCGCGGAGGAGCGGTCGACTCTCCGGCAGACGGCTTCCAGACCATCTCGCAGTTCCCTCCTCCGCCTCTACCTGGGAGTACACAGGATGAAGCATCTGCCAATGGCAACACGAGGCATCGCAATTCAAGCGGAACCCGCCAGCAGCGACGTACGTCAGGGCTGCAACGCGCCGGGACCACCAGCTCCCGCGCATCGTCTGTCCAAGCAGCAGACTCCCAGGCGATGCCGCTTCGAAGGGTCGACTCGTGGACTACAGCCGTATCCACGAGGCAGCAGCAGAACGAGCCAACGGCTCAACACCACCCTCCACCGCAGCAAGCTCAACCATCGCCCATCGCCCAGGTGTTGCGAGCTGACGGCAAGTCATCCGGCCTCGATGTCCTCGGTGACGAATTCGACCGCGTTCGTATTGTTTCCGAACCTCGGAGACTGTCTCCTCCCGCCCCGTCATCCTCGCCCCGGATATCGGAGTGGGTGACTGGCCAGACGAGTGAGCCGCATCCGGGCGTGCGCCGTTATATCGCGGGCGACAGACCCCCTGAGCATGCCGGCATGGCCAAGGTCGCGACGCGCGTTAATGTTGAGCCTCCGGTGATCCACAGCCGAACGTATCGCAATGGCTACACGTATGGCTCGCCCGTGGACAATACCGGGTATACGTCTGCAACCTCCGTCTTTGACCCCACCAGCCCTTCGACGACGAACCGGACATCTCTCTTCTCAGAACCGAACACATCGTCTGCTGGGCCCTCCCCGCATATCAATCCCAATAGTGAGCCCCGAGGCGCCTCGCACGGAACCTTTTACTCAGAAAGCGATCACATGGCACCGTTGATGCTTCCGCCCTTGTCCGAGCATGACGACGGCCTGATGCTTGCGGACGAGACGAGAACAGTGAGGTCAGAAACAAGTGGGACGCAGATTCGTACCATCTCGACAGGCGCAAGAGAGACGGCGTGTCAGATCGGACCAAAGAGCTCGTTCCACCAGCTCAAAGGATTCTGCGATGGCGCCGAGCTATTCAAGAAAAGCGAGCATGCACGCGGCATGAAACAGGCTTCCATATATGTGAGTTCTTCGATATGCGTAGCTCTCAAGCTCGGTGTAGCTGACAAGCTATGGTGTAGGGCCAGCTTGTTGCAGTCGGCCGCTGCACCAGCTGCGAGTTCTATCTCGTGCACAGTGAGATGACACGCGATCTGGAGAGAGACTGTAAGCTGATCATTGATGTTCTAACGAGGGTCTTTTGCTGATTATACTGCAGCTCGTGCAAACTTCATGAAATTCAATGTTGTGTACCGCCTTCGCTTCATGTTCAAGTCGCACATGACGACCAAGAACCTGACCGAAGTCAGATATGCCTGCCTCTTCTGTACACAGACTGGACACACCGTGAGACACGGTGACGCCACAGCCTTTGTCTCCCAGGAACAGCTCCTTCGTCATCTGTCGCAACATCCACAACCTTTGCCTGAGATTCCTGGAGTGACCGTACTGTACGGAAAGGTGGAGGCAGGCCACGAGCTCGAGGAGGACTACGACCTGCACTTTCCAGATCCGCCGGCACCCAGCCCAGTGCCTGAGACGGCATTAATCATGTTGCCAACCGCCACGGCGATCAAGAGTAACGTGAAGCGGTATGGCGAGGTAGCGCCAGTCGCACCGGACGGGACCGACGATGTGCTCAAATTCTTGATCGGCGCCCAGATTGTGGGGGTTGAGTTCCCTGAGGAATGGGGCGGAAAGTGGTGTAGAGGGTGGCATGATGGCGAAAAAAAGGCGTTTCCGTCGAAAATGGTTGACATCGAAGGCCCGAAACAAAACGAGGTTTCGTTGAATGCGAACAGCAGGATTTCCGTGACCGCTCGGTGGAAATGGAATCCAAAGGATGGCGCACGAACCGGCTGGCTACCCCTTGAAAAGGGGGACGTTATTCAGAACGTCGGCTGTAAGTGGAATCCAATAGGCGTTGTGTTCGACAGGCAAGCTGACTGAAAGGATGTAGGGGTATACCAGGATCACTGGTGTTGGTCGGGAACGAACAACAAGGGAAAGTACGGTGTATTCCCAGCGTCGCATGTCGACCCAAACTCGTTGAAGGAGGGGCGAGAACCAACGAGGAAACCGACCAGCAAGGGGCTATTCAGTCGCAGACGAGTGAGCATCAGTACTGAGTCATCATATAGTGGCGAGCGATGAGAATATGAGAAGATACAGAGACAGTGAACGGCACATGCCACTGACTATGGGTGACTATGGGGGTAAGCGTCGAGGATTCAAGTGGTAAACATTCTGGTCCGAAGGACGAGATATAAAGTATGCACGTATTGCGGCAGGGCTCCGCGGCTCTAGCTACGATCGCGGGCCCCTCGCGGGGTCATCAGAGTAGGGTATCTGTCAATAGAATTAGCAGTGGGCACAATTATGCAGAAGGGGGAGGACCTGCTTACCATGGCGGTCGTTGACATCATTCTGCGTTTTTTCTCTCATTTCAGTGTGATAGCAGCCTCCAGGCAGCTCACTTTCCGTACTCGGCTCTCGTCTCCTCCAAACTCATCACCCTCCATCACAACGTCATCCACGGTGGCGACTGTCCGTGTCCTCACTTGTACCTGACAGTCTGGCTGTTGTTCGAACCAGCTGGCCACGCTCAGGGTCTTCTCAATCGCCTTTCCTGTGCCCAGTACCAACACCTCGCAATTGCTTTCGCCCACAGTGCTGGTGTCTCGATTCAGGAGATTGACACGTTGGGCAAGACTCAGTTTCTTGGTAGATGGAGCCCGGTCTTGAAGCGACCGATCAAGTTGCTTCCGCACACGTTTGACGACGGACATGAACGGTGTCGATGACGAAACATAGATGAGGCGTTCATTGGACGAGGCCGGTTGTTGGCGGCGGGGAATCGCACGCTTCTGGATCTTGGAGCCTGGAGAGGTCAGTCATGTCAAGGGTCTCCAGTCAAGGGAGCTCGCTTACCTTCGGCGAGTCGTGGCAGCTTCTCATGACGGTAAGGCAGCTGGATGGTGCTGGCCGTTTTGCGGCCAGATTCTGGTGGGTTTGGCGCCATGGTAGGCAGCGGTATATGTGTCGTGGGTTGGATGTATAGTGATTGGTTCGCATGCGAAAATTATCCTCGTCTCCAAGTTACAGGAGCAGCAGGGATATTTTCGGCAGCCCGGGCGTATTTTGTTTACTTGTTGTTTTAAGATCGATCTCGGACGAAAGCCTTGAGGGCGTGTGCACGAAGCAGGGTGTACTGTGATTGCGGTGGCTTCTGAAGGCAAAAATGAAGTGACGGTGAGATGATAGTATCATACATCTGTCAGTCTCCACCAGTCCAACCCGCCAGGTGTCGCACCTGCCCAACAGCCAGAAGCAGCCGTGCCTGAAGAATGACAAGGGCAGGTGCAGGCAGGTGGCCCCTGCGGCTCCAACAGTGGGTCCACCTGGCCCCGCTAGTGCCAGGATGACGATGGCCGCCCTGTCAGCGGGCACTCGCGCCGATGCTGGCTGGAGCTTGACCTAAAGACATCCACGTCGCAACTCGCAACCCCGGCGCATGGTATCGCGAGCCACAACAACGGTTCTTTCAGCTGTCGAACCCAGCATGGCTGCCTGCGCGACACACAAGGCCACCACTCCTCAGCACACATAGCCATCATGTCCATTGACATCTGGCCACCTGTCTCTCCCGAAGAGCTCAAGGTGAAAAAGGGGCAGTCCCATGTGAGTGTGTTGACATCTTTGCCATGCCTCCTTCAGCGACCTCCTTCAGCGACCTTGCCGTGTCCCAAGCCCCATCATGCCTCGTTTCCAAACACATTCCTCGCGCCGCAGACTTTCAACGACGTCTGTCGATTCCATGGTGCTAATAGAGATTTCCACCGGCTGCAAGGCCCGCGAATTAGCATGGATCCTCGAGGAGACCCGCGCCGTCATGACCGAGCTCAAGCATGGTCTTGACGGCTGTTACGCGCTCCTCGCTCCCATCGACCCCGGAAGCACTCTTGTCCTCAGCACGCACCGCAATGAGAAAGTCAAGGGACACATCACACGAGTCGGGACGAGGATAGTGAAAGGAGTAAGCTCATCTCATCCATCCGAGTGCCAACCCCCTGGACGCATGAGGAACCATGGCGTTGACACTGTCCTCCCCTGCGCCAGACCATCCACCTCCAGCTGCGGACGCTCCCGACACAGAGCGTCGCCCTCGACCCCCAGAACCCGATCCACATCCCCTCGCTCGAAGCGCTCGGCACCCACTCTCCGAATCCGTCAAGCTCCTCGCCCTCGCCCTCGACTCGCCGCCCTCGCCCCGCCCCATAGCCGACCACCTCCGCGCCCTCTCCATCTCCCTCGCCGCCTCGACCGCCCTCTTGCGCGGCCCGCCCCTCGAATCCCCCGACCCCTCGTGGCAGCACGCCTCCTGGCCCCAGGCGCACTTTGCCCCGCCGCTCCCGCCCAACATCGCCTTCCACCTCTTCCTGCAGGAGGCCACCCTCGTGCTGGCTCTGCGCGCCCTCGAGCCCGCCGACGCCCCGCAGCATTTTGGCCTCAAGCTCGGCCTCGCCCTCGGGACCTATCGCCGCCTCGAGCACGACGAGATGGACCACGTCTATCCGTTTCGCTACAGTCGCCTCACGGCTGGCGGTTCGCGCCACGTCCACCAAGGGGCGTCCGTCAAGCGTCGGCCCACAGGGTTCCACGAGGCAGATGATGATCTCGGCCCCGGAAGCGGCGCCGTCGACGTCTACGTGCGCGAGAAGGTGCGGGTTGAGACGGCGGATCCGAGCCTGCTGAGCCTGTATGCCAAGCTCCTCGCGCTGGGCAACACGCTGGCGCAGGCGAGGAGCAATCTAGCCGCCGTCATGGGCGAGGAACTGGACGACTGAGGTGTGGTAGCCAGAGCTGCAGGGATGGATGTAAGAGTAGAAAATGGTTCGTGGTGTTGGGATACCCTAGGATTGGCAAACACTACGGGGTGGGGGTTTGGCCTCAAGGTAATTTTGCACGAAGAAGATGAAACGAAACAAGCAGGCACACAAGATATTTTTCAGCGTTTGCCGCCTGCATCAATTCTGCGTGATCTCTGGCAATCTCGCCGCTCGCCCGCCTGCCGTAGCAAGGTATACGTACAAATGGCTCTCCGATGATCCGTACAACTCCCACGAAGAAAAAGACAGGCAAAAAAAAAAAAAGAAAACCATGGCAAAAGGGGTGACGACCCTTGCCCGTCGAGGTGGTCTTGTAGCAGAGTAGCAAAAGCTAGTTTATTGCACTGGTGACCAGGGCATAGGCGTCAGGATCCTCGACTCCATCTTCTGGATGAGGGGCACCGTCTTGTGGACCGTCTCGCTCCATCCCTCAATCTGCCAGCTCTGTTCGCGACGGATCTTGCGCTCCTCCAGGTTGGCAAACTGCCAGAGGTGGTGGACGGTGTTGAGGTCGCCAATCTGGACGAACCAGGCGCCGACGCCCTCCATGACCTCGCGGCGGGCCTTGAGGCCGCGCCTCCAGTGCGTCTCCCACTCGAGCAGGTTGCCCGGGTGCAGGGTGTACCGAGCGCAGCTCAAAGATGCCGCCGAGCTTGCGCGGGGGCGTCGTGGGCCAGAAGGAGAACTCCTGCATGAGGGAGTTCTTCCTGGAGTGGATGAGGCTGCGGAGCTTCTTTTCAAAGTCGGCGTACTCGGGGTGATTGGCGATGTTGTGGATCGACTCGTGGTACCCCTGGTATCGCTGGTACTCCCAGATGTGGACTGACTCGTTAGTTCATTCAACCACAGACCTCCTGCGGCTGCTGTCAGTGCAGGTGCAGGTGGGCGTGTACTCACCAAAGGTGTTGGTGTCGCCAATCTCGGTTCTCCAGCTTCCCACGAGGTGGACCTTGTTCTCGGGCAGAGCGGCCATCTTGGGGTACCAATTGCTGATGAGGTCGACGTACTCCTCGAGCCTGTCCTGCTTGACCTCGTGGAAGGAGATGGTGTGAACATATTTGCCGCGGGCAAGGACCTGGCTGAAGCTCGCCTCGAGCTGGGCCTCGAGCTCGCGCCCTTCCTTGGTCCCATAGATGAGGTTCGTTAGCGGACCGGCCTTCTTGGTAGGCTCTTTGGCGTCGGCCTTGGATCCTGCAGAAGAGGCACTCAGTGAGCCGAGTTTCTCGGCGTCGGCGGGGACAGGAGAGAGGGGGGTGGAGGGAGGAACGATGAGCCACGCACTTGCTTCCGCTGCTCTGCTGGTCAACCAACTGCTCTCGGAATGCCTGCTGCCTCTTGTTGAATTCTTCGACGCTCTGGGGCGAAGCGCTGATGTCGGCCATGCCGGGCGTCTTGGTGCATGGCTGGCCAGTGGTGGAGAAGGCGGCTCGCAGCGCCGTGCGGGGGGTCGCTGCGCCGGCAGCTGCGCGCACCAAACGCTGGCTCAGCATGGTGAAGGTGAGGAGGGCGGTGACGGAGGGAAGGGAAGCGGTTGCTGGTGGTGTTGATGGTGTTGCTGAGGTCAAAGTGGCAGAAGCAATGGAAGGTCGGCGCGCCGGCAAGGAAGAGGCGGCTGAATGGTTTGATCAACGCACGGGAGTGCGCACGGTAGATTGTGACCGAAGCGTCGAGCTATATTGAGATCCCGAGGTGCAGCAGGTAGAGAGGCAGGGCGGCGGAAAGCAGGCAGGTACTTCCGAGAGAGAGAGAGAGAGAGAGAGAGAGCAGGGACCGTGTTGTGCTGTTTGGCAGCGTTTCACAAGCAGAAGCGGGAAGCAAGCTGTTGCTGGTCAGATAGCCGCGCCGTGGGAGTGCAGCTTCAAGGGGTAATTGGATGGTGGTTTGGGATGCTGAGCAATGAGTGATCTCCTATTGCAGTTCACCCCGCACTTGGAGTAAGGGTAATTGATTGGAAGGTCGGCCCAGGGCAGGTGATGCTGGCAGGCAAAAGGGGATGGATGTGCAGGATGGTGGTGTGGTGTGCGTGGTGTGGGTGACAGTGCGTGACGGACAAAGGGAGGGGGGAAAGGTGTGGCCGTTACTCTCCCGTTGTACAGGTGCTGGATCTGGGGAAAGCTGGGCTTCGGGGGGGGGTGGGCTCGCCCACGGCAGAAGCAACGGGGGACAGCTCATGTGGGTCGGAACCCAGAACTGGCTCGTTTCGCCGGACCAGTGCGGAGAAGCTGGGCATGATGTCACCTGACGGAGAAATCAAGCGCCGTCTGCAGCACGTGACCTTGGGCTTATCATCCACGAGGCTTATCGACCAAAATGTCCAGTCAGCACAGTGAGGAACTCCTGCCTGAGGCTGCCTGTCCGGCTAGCGGCTCAACCCGACGACAGACGAGGCATCGGAGGAAAAAGGCTCTCTCTTGATAGCTTCACCTCGGACCCTTGAATCAACCACCCTCAAACGCCAATCCCCACCAACTCAACGCCTCCCCACAAATCGTCAAGATGCTCTTCGGTGCTACCCCCCTCAAGAAGTTCCCGGCGCCCGTTCGTACGTCAATCGCTGCTGCTGCATCCGCTCGCGCCTCATCCGTACTGACCCGAATGTAGTGAGGCCCATGGCTCCCTTCTACGCCGCTGGTACGATTGCCGACTCCTGACCCCCCGAACCTCGACACAAAAACCGCGAGACAGCAACGGAGGACAGACTCGCGACGAAATCAGCATACTGACACATACGACAGGCCTCATCATCGCCTACGGCATCAACTCTGCCCAGAACGCCATGATGGCTTGTATGTCCACCATGAGCCATTGACTCCCTACGAAGCACGAGGAAACTGACAGCGCATTGCAGCCGACGAGTGGAAGAAGGATGCCCGCAACCCTGCCGTCAAGGCCGGTCACTAAATCGATCGTCGATCGGGACGGGGTGCCAAGGAGATGGAAGTCGTATGAACAGAGGCTAGTTCGGCAAGAAACAAACATGCATCGAACGACCACCGACGACGTGCTAGAGGACGATTGTATCATAGACCGGCGACACGCATTAATTGAGTTGTTACCGATTTGACACACACCTTCATTCATACGAGTACGCGACGCTACCTCAAGGCATCATGAAGTAATGGCTGTTTGTCGACGACCACGCACATCCCCCAACAGAAATGTAATGGCCACCGCGACACTCTGAACCATGGAGTGTGGCCGGGGTCATTACTGAGGCCTTACACTGCGGCGTGGCATTTGTTCTCCGAGGTAGTCCTTTTGATCCTTTGAGTGATCGAGTGAAGCCTCGTAATCACGTGACGTCCGCAAGCCGCCATGTGTACACTACATCTCGCGAATCTTCATTCCGAAAGTTTAATGACAGCCGCGACTGATTCGTAGATATGTGGATTACTTACTGCAGTCAAGATATTTGCTGCAGTCAAGACAGACTTGCATTACGCTTCAAATCGGTATGAATCATCCGGCGGCTTTGCATGTCCCGAATGTAATCGGCTCCCACGACGCCCTTACAGTGACAATTGCATGCTAGATCCACTTAATGAGGCGCTCTTCAACTCAACAACCGCACCACATGCGATCTCTCCGATTGTCCAGGCACCCGGCTCTACGACGTCCGACACCTCCAGGTACACGTACATTGCCAACTTACCCGTCTAGATCATACGTGGGGCTCTGTCGATTTATTCCTCTCACCACAGTTGCACCCATGTCTACGGCAACAATCCCAGTGCCTAACGGCACGGCTGATAAGAAACCAAGAGCCAACACCAAGAAGGAATTCAAGATTCTCATGCTACATGGTAAGCTATGCGCATCCAGCGTTCTCCATCTCTCGTTCTATCAAGTGCCGCCCATCATAGGATGTGTGATGAAACGCAGCCCGCCAACGAAAACGCGCCCAGTCGCAAAACTCATCTCCATCTTACCGCCCCTTGGAAACCTCGACTAACACGCGCCAGGCTACACGCAATCGGGACCCCTCTTCCGCTCCAAGACGCGCGCGCTCGAGAAGCTCCTAGCCAAGGCTCTCACGCCCCTGAACCTGACCCTGAACTGCATCTACCCCACCGCGCCGATCAAGCTCAACCCCGCCGACATCCCCGGCTACCAGCCGCCGGCGGACGACGCCGAGGACATGCCGGCGCCGGACTCGTGGCCTGGTTCCGCCCGCCGCGACAACCCGTCAGACGCCCGACAGCCGTCCTACATTGGCCTTCGACGAGGGCATGTCGGCCATAGGTCTCGACCCTCCGCTTCGGTCCGACCCGACCGATGCAGTCCTCGGCTTCAGCCAGGAGGGCGGCGAGCCGCCGCTCTCGTCGCCGCCGCCCTGGAGACGCCGCATCGTGCGATCCCCGCCGACCAGGCCGCCTGGGTGACGGCCCTGCGCGAGGCCAACGACGGTCGCGGCCTGCGGTTCGCGGCCGTGTACTCGGGCTTCTTTGCCGTGGACGAATCGCTGGCCTGGTGCTTTGAGCCCAAGATCCGGACGCCGACCATCCAGTTCATCGGCAGCCTCGATACGGTCGTCGACGAGGGCCGCAGCCGGGCGCTGGTCGACCGCTGCGAGGAGGCGGCGGTCGTGGTCCACCCAGGCGGCCACTATGTGCCCATCTCGAAGGAGTGGGCCATGGCGCTGGCGGGGTACGTCAAGCACCATGCGCAGGACCTAGAGGCTGCCAAGATGTAGGGGAGTCCGTCAGTGCATAGCATGCAACATAGACACTAGATGATCGCAAGGTAGACATCAAGGTTACATGCCCCATCTCGACGGGGTTGATATTCTATATTCTACAGTGACAAGTCTCCAGACGAGTCCGCCGTCCGCGGTTATTCTCGTCACAATCACAGAGTCGCTTCGCCGCCCAGCCCATTTGTTAGCCGATCCTCCAAAGCAGACACGTGTAGCCGTTCCCCGAGCGTCTGAAGACTGACACACTGTCAGACTGGCTTAGCGTGCCTTCGCGGCCGTCTTGCCCTTGCTTGACTTGGACGTGGGCTGGATGCGCGCCATCATCTCCTCCTTGGTGATGAGGTGGTCGATCCTCTCCAACAGACCGAGAAGGCTCTTCATGTTGCCGCTCCACTCGTTCAGGACGTCATCGGCATCTCTGGGCTTGGCGAAGCTGACGATGCGCGCTGGTCGATCAATCTTGGCGTAGACCGTCTTGGAGGTGACCAGGTCACTGATGTACTTCTCCGTCTCATCTTCGGTCAGATCCAACAGCTGAGTGAGACGGCTCATCTGGATGCGAGTGTAATACTTGGCCACAACGCGGACGTTGTGCTCAATGACACGCTTGCGAAGATCTTCCCAGCGCTGGTGCGCCTTCTCATCCGCAGACTGACCAGCCTGGGCGTCGAAAACGTCGGTCTGGCAGAGATCAGGGCCGAACCTCTTAGCCACTTCGGGCCACCTCATAATCTCATGAACTGTGAAGAGCTTCAAAATCTCCTCCTCGACGGGCACCTGGGCATTGCGGGTGTCACGCAAAATTCGGTGCAGGAGGTCATGTTGCTCGTTGTCGTGGGGTGCGAGGATGACAAAGTAAATGATGCGCTGGAGCACCTAGGAACAGAATTAGCGGTGCATAGAACAGGTGGAACTCGCATACGTACCGGGTGCAGCTTGGCAGGGTCGTTCTCGACAGCCTCCGTGTCCAGGACTTGTCGGTAGTTCTTGCAAACCTCGAGGTACTTGTTGTCGTGCTTCGCCAGGATGATCTGCTGCTCGTAGTATCGCAGCTTTAGGTCTGTTGTGTCATCCACCTTTTCTTCTGGCACCTCTTCACCACGAAGCCTCTTCTTCTCGCGCTCCTTCTGCTCCTTCTCCAGCTGCTCGGGTGTCTTCTTCGGTTTCCTGGACAGATACCGGGTGCTGATCTTCCTGCTCAGAATGCCGGCCTGGGTCCAATCTCCGCTCTCGATGCACAGGGCGACCTGCGCAAGAATGAACTCTGTCTTTTCTCTCCGGTCCATAGAACCAAACGTTTCCACCTGCAGTTCGCACAGAATCTCTGTCGCAGCCTTGAGGTCGCCCTGTTCCTTCTTGATATCGGACAGAATCTTGGTGACGCGCGCGCGCTCAACTTCGACGAAGATCTTGCCCTCGGTGACAGTTCGTAGAGTCTCAATGAGCGACAGCTTGATTTTGAGGTCTGGCGTCTCGTCGAGGAAGCCAACAACGGTCTGCACCATCTTGGTAATGGCCTGCTTCAGCTGACTGTGCTTCTTCGACAAGACGAGCACCTGCTCGTTGAGAAGAGACCAGTTCTTCGCATTCTTGCAGATTGTGACGATGGCGACCAGCACGCGAGACGTGGAGGCGAGATCTGAAGCCTGGGGGTTGGTCAGCAATATGGTCGGTGTTGGCATGACGTCGACAAACGCACTTGACGAGTTTGCTTCTCGAGCACGGCAAGACGCTCGACAGCGGCCTGGATGTCGCTCTACAATTCCAAAGTTAGCGGCGGTCCTGCTGCTGCGTTCGTGGGCTGGCGCACCGATGCGAGCTGCTCCGCTTCGGGGATCTGCTTGTCGGCCTCCTTCGAGAAGTCCTTCTCGGGCTTGAGGGCTCCTTCCGACATGATGGCGGGTATTGGTGGTTTTCGTGACGCGATATATCTTCTGTCGGGAAGTGGGGAGTTGAGCAGATGTCGAGGAAACGAGGTGTTGGTGGTTGATGTTGCAAGGGTCGTTGGTGGTGATCGTTGTTTGGCGGCGACCTGGAGCTTCTCTGTTCGAAGCCCGCCCAGGCTAGGTACCAGGTAGCTCACGCAACATGCTCGTGCCTGCCGGCGGCGGGCCCACTATTGCGCATGGTGACGGCAAAGCGTTTGGCCGGCCGCCGTGGTGTGCTGACGTAATGGGATATCAAACTCAGGATCATGACTTTTGGTTGAGGCTAGCACCATTCAGGTCCAGATTCCAAATCCTGGGAATCAACGTGTTCCCCTTGTTTACCGCCGGTCCGTAAAGCTACAAAGCTACGCACAGGAATGGCATGCCGTACCTCGTGAAGCATTGAGTCACATGAGTATGAGTCTGGGTCTGTGGTCGGAATACTGGATACATGACACCGCCAAACATCCGGGAAATTCGATTGACTTGACGAGGCCAATTTGCAATGCTCGCGCGTCCCGTTTAGCGCATTGACGATAGACAATGTCTAGCCACATCCTGTTCGGTAACGTCTCATCATAGGCATTGTACATTGTCCTCGCTTCAAGGCCTAGCCCGGCGCTGAGAATATACGAAGCCTCCAAAGCCTAGTCTACTCACGACGAATCATAACGGGCGCGCAGGTAAATTCATGTCATGGGTTTGTTTTATCATTTGTCCATTACTAGGGAGACTGTAGACGTTTCAAGCCTGCCCCTCATATGTACCGCTACAACTAAATATACAGCCACTGTGAACATGGCACTACCCGTAACCTTTCTATCCGAAATTCAATGCTTAAGCCTGGGCGGGAGCATCAGGCAGGCTGTCGATGACAATGGTGGTGGGGTTCTGCTGCTGGCAGATAAAGTCACCAAGGCCGCCAGCACGGCAGTAGGTGAAGATCTCGCCAGTACCGTAGAAGCCGAAGCTGTCCAAGGATGTCAGTCACATGAATTCGCAAATGAGATTTCTCCTCGCGTTCAAGGGGAGGGTCAACTTACGCAAGGCCGAGCTCGTGGTACAGGCGCAGGGCGAACTCAAACTCCTCACCAGGGTACAGGGCGAAGCGGTACTTGGACTCGCCGCAGGTGATGACCTCGGAAGGCAGGCCGGGGTTCTCAGCCTCGCAGAGGAGGCCGTCGGCGTCCTCGCCGCTCAGCTTGAAGTTGACGTACTTGATGGTGCCGTCCTCGCCCTTGCGGACGTTGAAGTCGGCAATATCGATGTTCTCGTACGTGTTAGGGTCGGGAGGAGCACCAGTGGAGCCGGGAGACGCGGGGGCCGCGAGGGCAGAGGCGCCAAAGAGGGCGGCGGCGGCGGCAAGGGTGAACTGCATTTTGATGTTGGGTGAGGTTGAAGGTTTGAGGGTTTGTGTGAACGATTGGTGATTGTGTGAAGTCTCAAGGATGCTCTGGTGTGATTCGGGGTGTTGATCTGGTTCCAAATCGCTAGCAGAGACGGGCAACGCGGTCTCTTTATACTACATCTCGAGCCTCAATACGAATGCCCAACGTCACAAGCCTCCGACGCATCCTGGAGGTCGACGTCACCAACACTCGACAGGCGGGGACGGCAGTGTGGATCGCAGGTCGGGCTACGTGCCGGACCTTCTCCAGATTTCCGTCTCTTGGCCACCGATACGAGGCGCCCGAAGCAGTCTTGGCCCCGGCAAGCAACGGGTGCGCTAAGATACGTAGCATGCCTAGACGCAGGGTCCTATGCCTACGGCAAACCATTGTGTGCTTTTCTACTCTCGCCAGACCGCCTCCTGCTGCGATCACCAGCTCGCAATCTCGTATGAGTTCCTCACCTGGGTTTCCACTGGGAAAATACCTAGGTCAGCGGCAGCCACGGCCGTTGCCCAGCCATGCGACCCTCACTGCCGTTGCATTGCTGGACGATAGTGGTGGCGTCGTGGACGATCTTCTCGTATCGCCCCGGGACAGGGTCCTTTCTCCGATGTGGGGAGCGCGCTATGCAGGGCTGCTGATCAGGTCAATTGCGAGCAAGCCGGCATTCCAATGTCTTGCCAGAGAGGTGCAGGTGGGAAATGCTCCACTGCCAACACTGCATTTCGCCCCGTGCGGCAACAGCCTTGCTCGTGTCCCTCGACCATACTGACACGGATGCCTGACGTCGTTGCAAACCTCGGGCAAGCTGAGAGCTGGGCAGCCAATGATGGAAGCCAAGTCGGACAGGCCCACCATGACTCGGGCCGCCATTTTCATCTCTCTCCCTCACTCTCTCGCGCCAGTGGCAACGTGTCGGCTCCGAACCGCCCGGCCGTTCGCTTTCTCCGTTCGTCCAACGTCCTTGGGTCAGGCCTTGTCGTACATGATTGCTGCGCTTCTTCTCGTAGCGGTCAGGGCAATGCTATTTCGAGAGCATTATGCAATAGGTAGAGTGGCGGCCCTCCCGGGACCCTAACCCATTCCTGTACTCTAGCGTTGTTTTTCGGTGTTAACTGTCCAGATTTGTCGTCATTGTCATCGAGAGTTGGCCAAAAGAGGGTCCTGTGCTGGCTCCAGATTTCCGAAAGCGAACCACTGGACTGATTCAGGCAACATCCTCTTCAGCCCAAGATCACCTTGGCACTAACTTCTCTCTAACATCATTATCATCACGAGGCTGTGTTTTGTCGATCAACAGATGGGTTTCATTTGGTCACTTCTCCTTGGACAAATGTTACGTTACCCCTGGCGCCTAAGACATCAAGCCGGCTTGAAAGTCAGAATCGGAGCGGACCTCACTACGTTGATTATTCGGATAGCATGCCCCATTTAACCCCCCCCCCCCCCCGAGAAAAAGAAGCTATCAACCAAGCAGGAAGTACGAGGCTCCTTCAGAGTCTGGATGCAGGTGAATGATGTTTGTAAATGAGTGGAATTGAGCTACTGCCCCAAGATGAAAACAGCCACGCATGAAGCACATCCAAAGTGCACACGTGCAAGGCAAGTCGAGTGCGGCTACGGTGAGGAGAGGTTCCTCAACGTTTTCCCCAGAGGCACTTTCAGTATACATTCGCCTTTGCAATGCAATGGAATACTCTCGCGCATTTTGCATTTCTTGATAGTAGCTTCTCTTTCCTTACTATCTCGGTGTCACTCTGCATTTGGGTGCTGTCTTTACTTTCTCTGCTTATCTCATGACTTCGGAGTATACCCACGCGTCAGCAAACTCTTCGCATGGTAGAGCAGGTTGCCCCGTGATCGCGTTGCCTACTACAAGTCTACGAGATCATCACAACACTCTCTTCAGCGACGATTCACGAGTTGCGGATGTGGCTCTGGCTAGTGAGGACTGATTGACTACCGTGACTAGCAGGGTCCAAAGCTTCTACCCGATGCCCGTTGCCGGGCCTCGAGCCCCAAGCAAGAGGTATTGCCCTCTTCCACTCTAAGCAAGATACTTGAGAAGACTGATATGAAAACCAATACCATCATGTGCTTCAAGCCAAGAGGCTCCCGCATTAGGTAATGACTGAGGTACGCAGCAAAAGAAGGCTTACGTCGTTACTCGAAGTTGGCCTTAATCAAGCGGGTGATTTGCTCAACAGTCTCCTTTTGAATCTTGGCCTGGGCATCCTTTGCCTCGGTCGGCTTGGCTGTCGAGACAGGCTTGAAAGCGGAGTTCTTGAACGAGATCATCTTCCTGACAGGCTTGGAGACGTATCTGGGGCTTGGTGTTTTCTTCTTCACGATGGTCAGCAGAAGCTTTCAGGTCAATAGGGTGATACTGCTTACATACCAAGGCCTCACCCTTCGCCTCGTACTCCTCATTTTCAGGGCTGAGGCCACGGCGGACATTCCTGACGGGAAACCCGAAGGGCACGCCGACCCTGCGAACACCAACGGGGACAGCCTGAGGGGCGGCCATGATGGGGGCCGGAGCAGGCTGAGGCACGTAGGCCGGCTGAACCGGCTGGGCTGGCTGGTAGACGGGCGCGACCGGAGCGGGCTGGTAAGCAGGCATGGGCTGAGGAACGTTGACGTAGCGGTTGACGCCAGGGTGGTTGACCTCGCCGCCGTCGTAGCCTTGGCAGCCTTGCGGGCCTTTTCCTTCCCGTTCCTTCTGCACAGGTACTCGCGCTCGTTCTTCGGCATCGCCGCTCAGCCTGCCTTGCGGCAGCCCTCGTCAACCTTCGCGCCGCTTGCGCTCGAGAATAGAGGCGGTCCAGGCGCTGCGACTCCTCGAGGATCTTTGCGCTCCTCCTCCTTCTCCTTCTTTCGGGCGTCGGCGAGGGCTTTCTTTGACCCAGGAGGTGACGTCCTTCTCCTGCTGCTTGTTGATCTTCTGGAGGCGCTTCTTCTCGGCGGAGCTCGCCGGCGAGCTTCTGGACCTTTGCGGCGTCCTTGGCGGCATCCTCGGCGGCCTTGCGCTGCTGGTACGCGGCCTCCTTGGCCTCGGCGGCCTGCTGTGCCTCGAGGGCGACACGGTCAGCCTCCTGTTTCTCGGTGATCTCGCGTTGCTTGGCTTCTTGCTCGGTGGCAACCTCGATGGCGTTGGCCTCTGCCATGGCGTCCTTGATCCATCTGTTGAGTTCTGCCTTGCTGGCGGCGGGTGTGGCGGGTGCGGCGGGTGCGGCGGGTCTCGGAGCAGGCTCGGTCGACTTGATGACGCCGGGAACGTCGTCGTACACAGAATCTTCGGCGCCGGAACCGACACTAGGCCCAGCCTTAATGATCTTGCCCGTACGAGGCACTTTGTTGCCGGCGTTGACGGAGCCAAGGATGGCGCAGGCCGTGATGATACCAGTAGCGAAACGCATTTTGAGGTTTGTTTGGGAGAGATGAGAGCTTTGGGTGGGTGTACGTGTTCGTGTCAGTGAAGTTGAAGTTGGACGATTTCGAGTGCCGATGAGGAATGCTGAGTTCCTGGAAATATGAGACCTTCTCTCGAAACTTCGCTCTTATATAGATTCCCAGTGAGCTCAAATCACTCGGTTTTCCTTGGCCAGAAAGGTCCCCCAAATCAAGTTGTTAACCTTTACAGGCACATGATGGGAACTTTTTGAAGGCCTACAGGGTGTGAGAACCTTTATATGATTTTGAGACGTCAAGGTTCTGTACAGTCTTCTCTCATACGAGTGCTTCAACTTTCAAAATGTAAGCCCTGGATGAAAGGTGCCACACTCTTTTCGCCTCGCGTCTGACGCCTCCCATGCATCGTTTCAAGCCACCAGTCAGACTTGGTTTTGCAGTCCATGATCGCACGTTGCTTTAGCTTTGGCAATAAATGCATGTATTTAGACACGTGCTGGGACCGAAAGTGATATAGACTTCCTCTCAAGCCTAGCCATGCTTCAGGTTGGGTGACTTTCGAGGGTTTGAGCCTGAATAGAGACCATTCACGTCTAGAAATGTGTCTGCGATGTAAGGTAGGTTCGTGAAAGTGGAACGATGGATGGCGACCGAACCCAAAGGCAGACTCAGATGTGGACATGGGGCGAGATATTGTTTCGAAAGGTCTTGAATGACGTGACGTCGACTCTCCAGGTTCCAAGGCTTCTTCAGCTTGATCATGTGAAGCAAGGCAAGTCGAGCAACAATTAAGCGTATCCATGATATATGGTCACACCTTGATGAACATGAGGCATTGCAAAGCCAATCATAATTGACATGTCCGTATTATGAAGAGACCAGCAATAGCCAAGACAGCAAGCTTCAACTGGAAGCGTTTTCAGCATCAGTAACCACGTTTTCCTCCAGATAGTCAAGACCACACCACGAAACTGATTTGGTTAGTCAGCACCTCGAGCATACCATGAGGTCCATCTCCGGCCTCGAAACGAGCAGAGCAAGATCTTTGCAGGGCAGCCTCCATTCGTCAATACCGCTGACAGCAAGGGGAAGATGCCAACCTTGTTGGCCCCATCACGCCACGCGAGGTACCCAGAGTTCAGATCTTGGCTGCCAGCCCCGCAGAAAGTTCGCCAGAGGCGCTCCAGTCGAGTCTCAGCCCACTTTCTGTTGACTACGATGCTCGACGAACTTAGAGCGGATATGGGGACCCTTGGAAAGGTG